GCGCAGGGGGCGGGATGTACTGAGGGGGGCTGTGGGATGGGAGAGGGCATGTACAGATGGTTGAGGCGACGGGTGGGTGGGACCGAGGTTGAGTGAGGATGGAGGCCGGGTGCATACCTTAAATCACTTCTTTGCTGTTGCATCCAGGTCAATTGGTTTTATGGCTAGGGGGCCTCGCATCCCGTTTTACTCCACACAAGCATGCCTGCGGGTGTGCAGGCACGCGCAATGGCCCAAACACACGCACTGAGCTCACCTTATCCCCCCCTTCAATCAAACCAAACCAACGTTGCGTCACCCTGCCTGTGTATTCCACCCCCCCCCCCCCCCCAGGAGCTCATGTCTGAGTACAACTCCCGCATGGCTGCCAAGATGGGGCTGCAGCAGTATGACAAGGCACTGGTGGGTGGTCGGGACGACATGGGCGCCATTTCCCTTGTGGGGTCTTTGGGAACCGCGCCCCACCTGGGGGCGGTGGAGATGACAAGCGTTTGGCTGTGCGGGGAGCACGCAGCTGCTGATAAGCCGCTGCTGAAAAGCCGCGTGCGCCGGTGACCTGCCAAGAGCTGGACCAAAGCTTGGACCACCAGTGTGCAATTCAAACTCCCGGCCGCTGTGTTTCGTGCGGGCGCGCCTTTGTGAGCGTCCATACAACCCTCTGGTCCCCCTCGTGCTGGCTGCCCCATGTCAGCCAACCTTGCCCGTTCAATTTGTAATTCGGCCGGGCAACCGCTACCCTACCTACCCACCCTCCGCCCTGCCCTGTCCTGCCCTGTCCCCCCACCAGGCCATGGAGCTGCTCAAGCTGATGTATGACTGCGACGCAGACTTCACCAACACATTCAGGTGCGACGCGCGACGCCCCTGCCTGTTACCCACGATGCGCTTGCCTGCCGTATCAACAGGCCTGGCGGCGGCCATAGTGCAGCAGCAATGCCTTGCCCTCGCGCGCTGCTTGTGACAGGCTGCGTTCACACGGTCCCGCGCGCACGACGCGCCAAAGAATGAACCCCCCCCCTCCACAAAAACACAACCTCACCGCTGTGCACATCCAGGGCCCTGGCCAGCATCCCGTCTGCTGAGGACGCCGACGGCCACGCGGACGGCGGCGGCCTTTCAGCTTCCCGCGGCCTGCCGGCTGAGCTGGCGGCGGCCATCCCCGCGGAGGAGCTTACTGAAGAGGCGGCCGCCGGCTGGCGCGCGTGGCTGGGCGCGTGGCGCGCCAAGCTGCGGGAGGAAGGGGTGGCGGACGCAGAGCGGGCGGCGTCGATGAAGCGCGCGAGCCCCAAGTTCATCCCGCGGCAGCATCTCCTCCAGGTGGGCGGGTGGCGGCTGGTTGGGGCATGTGCGGGCCTAAACCCTAACCCTAAACCCATGTGCGTGCGGGCCTCGGCTGGCCGTCCCTGGACGCATGCCCCTGCATCGGCCGGGGCTGGGCTGACTTGTGGTTGGCCAGACTCCAGCGGCGTGCCGTTGGTTGGTTTGAGGTGCTGGCGTGAGAACAAGGTCACCCCAGCTCTCCTTGCGATGGCCAGCAGAACACGCAGCTTACTTCTGCATCGCTCAGCCAACCGCGCCTGCCTTAACAGCCCCACTCGACAGCGCCACAGCGCCGACCGATCGACCGACCGACCAACCGCCCCAACCGCCTCGGTCCCCACCCCACCGCAGTACGCCATCGAGGCGGCCGAGAGGGGCGATTACTCAGAGCTGGAGGCCCTCATGGCCGTCCTTAGCCGCCCCTACGACGACCAGCCGGGCGCAGACCCCAAGTACACGGCGCCGCCGCCCGGCGACATAGAGAACAAGCCCGGGGTCTGCATGCTGTCGTGCTCGTCTTGATTTGATCACACGATCGGCGAGACGACGGCGCTGCGTCGGCGGGGAGTCGTGGTGGGTGCCTGATGGGCGTGCCGAGTGGCGCGGCACGACGTATTGCGCGACGGCACAGAGAGTGTTGGACGAGTGGCGGTGCTCGAGGGAGGTGCTTGCGTTTAGCAGGTTGTTTTCACGCTGGTTTTATTGGCCTGGATGTGCTTCTGGCACACGTCGTGTTCAATCTGGCTGTGTGTGGATAGGTGTTCCTCTCACTTATAACCGTTAAGGCGGGCTTGGCCACCTTGCGGCTTTTCATTGACTGCGCCATCGCGGCAGGGCGCTGAGGGCGCTGTCCCCTTGACTCGCTCAGCTGGGCGCATTGCGCCTCTATCGCTGCTGAGAAAGCAGCGCCGATGGACTTTTGACAGCTTGACCGTCCAATAGCGTTACATACGCGCTTCATGGTGATGTGGCCACGCTTGTCACCTAACACGACCCTCAACGACTACAAAATCATACCCCTTTAACTGAACGTTGTGGGTAAAAAGACGGACGTGGTGGTGATTTTTGCATTGTAAGGGCGTAAGCAAGTGCTTCTGCAACAGGTGAGATGAAGCGCCTCAACGCCTGGGGCTGGTCTTGCATTTGAAAGTGATCACTTTGTGCAAGGCAGAAGATATGCACTGGCTGTTTGAGGTACGCCTGTTGATGTGAGTGGCGAGCACTGACAGCAAACAGTAGGAGACAGGTGCGGCAGCGCAGGGGTGACGCTTAGCAATGCCCTGTGTGGGCAATGCCATGCAGCCGGCGCCTCCAACCAAGCCAGCACGCTACCCACTGTAGGCAGCATTTCAAGTGCAGACATCAAAATCATATGAAGTCGTGCTAGCAGCTGTGCACGTAAAAATGCATCCCTCAGCAGTCACGGCAACCGGCATGCATCTCCAGCATTCCCAGCAATGCTTGGCATTGCCGCGCTTTCGGCGCTTTTGTGCCGGAACGCCCGCTCCCCCAACCTCCAGCATGCATGTCTAGGGCAAGTCGTGTTTCCGGCAGCGGGTCCCGTACGGCAATCAAAAGGTGTTTGACAGCCTGCCGTGCCTACAAGAGCCTCCCCTCCGCGCACGGAACATCGACATCAACAGGCATGCGACAGACCATTGGTCAATGAGCAGGTTATATGACCTGTGCAAACCTGTGGCAAATTTCTGCTTTTTTGCATACCTGGTCAACAAAGCTGCCTCGCTTCGCCGGCTCACCGGTCCACTGGTACCAGTAGCCGAGCATGTGACGTCTGATAGCAAAATCTCGCAAATCCAGTAACAAACATACACATGTACTTCATCATATGAACATTTGAATGGCTTCGAAGGTGGTCAAAGGTATGCATATGGTCCGCCGCCCTTGCTGGCTTCTGTGTGTACTGCCATGATATTCAACCTGTGCCGACGCATTTATCGCATATTTACAGTCTCAGCTGGTGTGTGTCAAGCTTCAATTTAGAAGAATGACATGGCAGCCTTGCACTCTGTTATGTTTGCGCCATGCTCTGGGTGGGGTAACGCACCAATTGGCCGCTAGAGGGGGGTGTCAACAGCCTGGTGACGCCCAGGAGGTGGTGCCCTCTGGGACCTGTAAATTACTACCATTGGAGGGCAGTGAACCCACCCAGGGGCACCTCTCTGTGCGTGTTGGGGGATAGATTGCGTCCCCCACCACGCGCAATCAGGCGCCCCCTGTTGGCTTGCACATCCACCCTCTGACAGGTCTGATCAGCCTGTCAGAGGTTTTGCGTGCATTAAGGTGCATGCTTTTGATGCAAACGTCGCTGCTGTATTAGTCTTGCAGCCGTCGCCGCGCCGTCACTAGCGCCCAAGAGCCGTCCGTGCAGACCTCGAACCCGTCAAAGGCAGCCGAGTATGCCGCCTGCACATCAGGCACCTGCGCGTGATGGCAGAGATGCACAGCAGCGTCGAGCCATCAGCGACAACGAAGGGTCGCGCCCTCCCCGTGTCGCGGGACCCAGAATGCTGCGTTTTCGCACATCTATTCATCCAGCGCCACCCCTGCTGCAGGCGAGGCATGCGCACCAACCCGGGAAAGCTCCCACCGCTCCCAGGCCCCACCTGCTCCGCCAGCAGCCCTGACAGCGCCAGCCTGCCCCCCGGCCGGACGTACCCCGACAGGCGGGGCGCCAATTCCAGCAGGGGGCCGCGCAGTATGTTGGCCACCACCAGGTCGTATGCGCCGGCAGCAGGCAGGCCGGCCTTTGGTTGGCGGTGGTGTAGGGACGCATTGCAGGGGGCGTTGATTGTCGGCGTTGACGGCATGGCTTGTTGTCAAATCTGTGTGCTGTTTGTGGATTGTGCTGTGGGTGTTGGTTGAATGGGGGATTGGTAACAATAAACAAGCTCAGAGCGTGGCGTGGCAAGAGGCTGATTGCTCCCTGTACCAATTTGCATCCCCTTTGCCAGTCCACAGAAGACAGCAACCACATCGTCCGTTTGAGTTTTCACAGCGCTCTCCCAACCACTCCGCATGGCCACCGCACCTCCCCCAGGGGCTCCGGCCCCGCCAGGTCCGGCGAGCACTGCAGCGACACAAAGCGGGGCCCCTGCCCGTTCAGCTCCGCGTTGCGCGCGGCCGCCTTAACAGCGAGGGGGTCTGTGTCCGTGCCCACGGCCTGGGTTGGTGGTTTGAGAGCGAGGTGGCAGCTGTTTTGTTGGCCGTCTCTCGAACTAGCGCGAAATCAAGTCAAGCCTTATACATACAGTGACAACACCATGTGGGTGTGGGCATGCCGGCAAGGCTCCCCCATGCTCATATAGAGTGTAGGGCGAGAAACCCTTGATGTGACGTCCTTGGCGAAGGGCCCCAAGGCTTGCCTGCGCCGCCCCCATCATGAGCGCCGCGATCGCCAGCACCCCCGATCCAGAGCCGTAGTCGACCACGCGGCTGCCGGGCAGCTCCTCCCGGAGCGACCAGAGGTGACCCAGGCACAGCCGCGTCGTGGGGTGCTCGCCTGCCAAGGGTGCCGGCATGGTTTGAGTGGAGCAGGTGCAGGATGCGCCTTGAGCAGCACGGCAGGGCAGACGTGCCTTGACTAAAGCACTTGCTTCCAAAATCACACAGACTCGCCGCCTCGCCCCCCCCCCCCTCCCCTTCCGCCTTCAACAGGTTGTTGCCGATAGCTCTGCCTGCCTGCCTCCTCTCCGCCCCTCGTAATACACTATTGTGCAGCATGCGTGCCTCTCCTGCCTGCTGTGCATCACCTGTTCCGAATGCGACGCCGGGCTCCAGGGTTATGTTCATGGCTGCTGGGTCCTCGGGCTGTGACCACGTGGGCACTATGTACAGCCCTGGCAGGACCTGGAGCGGCACGTAGCTGGCCTGGCAGACGGGACCGTTTGAATGTATGGGCGGGGGATGAGGGACGTTTGGCTGCTGGGGTGACGGGTAGTGGGTGGGGATGCAGGTCGCGGGTGCTGGATGACGGCGTCGGGGGCGCACTTGCGGGCGCAGTGCTGCCTGGTGGCTCGGCTCCCTTTGCGCTCTGTGTGGGAGCAGATGCACGCGCCAGCAAATCCCTGGATGGGTGGGCTGCAGCTGACCACAACCGCAGCGCGTTGCGGAGTCAATGCTTCTCCCGGCCCGGCCCTCTGCTGCTCACACCCAGTCGCCCCTTTGCAAAATCATCGAGCCTGCAGATCCCTCCTTAAAAAGCAACTGACCCACTGGCCCCTCCTCAAACGATAGATTTTGCCAGGTATGGCCTTCAAGGACACTTCTTGGCCCCCTTTCCTTGCTGCCACATCCCACAACCCAGATCTTTAACCACCACGCTCCAGCCACGGCGCCGCTCTCACCTTGATCTGCTCAACCCACTCAGTGTTCACCACCGGTTCCAGCGTGTAGCTCCACCCCCAATCCCCACCACCACCGCCGCTGCTGCCGCTGCCGCCGCCGCTGCCGCCGCCGCTGCCGCCGCCGCTGCCGCTGCTGCCAACGTCCCCCTCATGGCCATCGCCGGTCTCCCCCAGGACCTCCCGCAGCACGTCGCGCGCGATCACCAGCGTCGCGTCTGCGTCGTGCTCCAGGGGGAAGTGCGCCACCACGCTGCAGGTGTCCCACAGGCCCGACTCGGCGCCAAACACCTGCGGGCCGGGCGGCAGCGAGGGGCGGGGCGCTTCAGGGGGCGGCGGCCAATGGGGGCCTGCTTCGCGGCTCCTGGCGCGGCATGTGGCTCGGACGCGGCTTCCATGTTGCGCACGCGCAGCCGCAGCCGCTGCTGGGCGGACGTCCCTCAGAGCGTCCTTCATGCGCCACACGCCACGTCCCTTGTTTGCTCATGCACGCTGATCAGCAGGGGCTGCGTGTGCCACGAAACCAGGGCGCCGTAATGTAAGCCCGCGCATGGTTGCTGCACCTCCTGCTCTGGCGCCCCAGGCGCGCGATACTCCTCCACCACCACTGACTGGGCCCCTGGGAGTGTGAAAACCAGGGGTGCAGCCGTGTATTACGAGGTCATGGGCGTCCATGCATGCGCACCAACGCAGGAGGCCGCTGCGTCGCACAGCAGCGACATGCGAGGCGACGCGGTAAACGCAGCGCCCGCTGGAGCTGGCTCGCCAGTCAGACTGCTCTAGGAATGATTCGGCGCAATGCATGGGCTTGGGTGCCGCTCTGGCCCGGCCCGCGGGCGGCTGGGGCCGCACCAAAGCTGAGCAGGACGTCCGAGAGCGCGTCAGCGGCCTCGCCGCTCAGAGGCTCGATGCGGCATCGCGTGCACGTGGGCTCCTGGCCGACCGCGCTGCGATGGGCAAGGGTTGCAGGCATGCGTTGGCGCGTGCATGAGCTGGGTTGAATGCGCATGTGCACGCTTGCTGACGCTTGTTGCATGCGCTGAGAAGCAGTGGGCGCCCCTGTAGGTTGCACCGAACAATGATTGTCCCCTCGCTCACTCTGACGCGGTCGCAAACGCCGCGACGGCGCCCGGCGGCAGCCCTGCACCAGCATGGACACGCCAGCGGGGGTTGGGGGAGGGTTCGGTTTTAGGACGCTGGCAAGCTTGCCGTTTCCAACCTTACACATGGTTGGGATACGCCGTCAAAATTGTGATGTGGTTGAGTGAAAGGGGCAGAGGACAGTACCACAATAGGGATGTCTGACGGCCGGTTGGGCCGAGCGCGGCGGCGGCCCTCGGTTATTGCGTATCATATGCCGCTATGTTCTGCCTGTCACATCCCACCTGCGTTGCGAAGCGCCCCTGCAGACCCCAGTAGCACCCGCGTCACCGGCTCGGACGGCCCGCTGCTGCATGCGCCGCTGCCGCCAGCCGTGCCATTAGCGGAACCCGCCGGCGGCAGCCGCGCGCGGTGTGCTGAAATTCTATCTGACCCTTGAATTGTATGGGAGCACGTGAGTGCATGGTGCGCACGGGGGCTGCAGAAGTGCTGCAAACAGATCAGGCCCCGCATTGATCTGCCGAGGATCAAGCTCGTCATGGTGAAGTACTTCCGTATGTTCTATATCCATCTCATTACTAGCATAAATCAAATCCCTCTTCTGAGATCGTTTTGACCAGTGTCGGCTTCACCGCGTTGCTGCCCAATGGAGGATCGGCCATCAGCGAAAGGCCACCAGCAGGATCCAGAAACTCCGCCTTGCAAGCGACAGAGGAGCGGCGGGCAGCAACTTGCTGCATGCGGGGACGTCGTCAGCGATGCTGGTCTTGCTCATGCTGCGCGCGCCACGGACGATGTGCCGCAACTGCAGCCTAAAGCCTCTCCTGGAGAAGCAGCTGAAAACAAGCAGCAATCTCCTCAGCAGCAGCCGGAGGTGCCCAAGCAGCAGCAGCAGCAGCAGCAACCACAACCGGCCAACCCATCGAGCGAGATCAGGCACCTAGCGCACACACCTGTGAGCTTTGCCTCTTCAGAGGACAAAGGCTGCCGCCAGGCGATGGAGGACGTTTGTGTGGCAGAACCGGACGCCCGTGGCAGCAAGGACTCCCCCCTCAGGTGCGCACGCGTTGCCGAGCGTCCGACGGCGGACGCCCCCGCTGCTGTAATGCCCCACATGGCCTGGGAGATCAACGCACACCTGAACCCTCTTTGGTTCATCGCAATGCAATGCTTGCTACCACTGGTGCTGACCTCACACGGTGAAAATGCATCTCTGTCATCCTTGCGTGCACCCCTCTTCCCAGCCCAACGCCCTCGCCCCCAACCATCAGGGTCTCCTTTTTCGCGGTGTTTGATGGCCACGGCGGCCGGAACTGCGCCGCTTATGCAGCGGAGCACCTCCACGCGTCAGTGCTTGCGGCGGGCCTGGTGGCGCCAGAGGTGCGATCCATTTTGGCGCGAGTGGACAGCCGTTGACTGGCTTGGGCCAGCAACTGGATTGCTCATGGAATCTGCAGGTGCAGGCAGCCACGCGCACCAGGGCTATGTTCACTGAATGTCTGCTGTCTTGTACTGCGGTGATTTCAATGACTGTCAAGTCGGGCGGCCCATCCCTGCCTGCTTGCTCCCACAATAATAACGATGGTGCTCCAACCAGGCTGCTTCGGGAGACGCCCCCGTGGAGGTGAAGCGCGTGCGCCAGGCAGTCACAGAGGTGGGTGGTCGTTGCAAGTGGGGAGGATCCCCTTTCTTGCAGGTGTGCAGGGATAACCACAAAGAAATCAAGGATCAAGCAAGTGTGCGTGTCGCACTAAAGAAGTTCCAAGCGGCATTGCCGCCAGCGATTGCAACCCTGTTTCCTTGCAGCCAGAGAACGCCATGTCTGAAGTGCTCCAGTAACCACCAAACAATGGTTGCTGGCGGTGTCAAGTGCACCCATATTAAAAAGCCGACCAGCTGCCGCCTCGCGGCTGCCTGTTGGCTACCGCGGCATCTGCTGCAGCTGCCTCACGTCCTCCTCCAGGGCCTTGATCTGGCGCCGCGCTGTCGCCAAGAACACGTCCAGCTGCCCGTCCTGGGGCAGCGAGGGGTCGGATGGGGTTGAGTTGGGATGGAATGGGCCGTGATGACCGCTCAGAGAGCAGGGATGCTCAGGAACATGTGCCGATCCCACAGCCCGCGCATGTGCATGCGCCAAGTGCTCATGCGTGCGAGCACCTGCACACACGCACACGCACACAAACGCGCACACAAACGTGCACACACACACCCGTTGACGTGGGCAGCTGGCGTGCGCAGCAGCGCACACACACACACACACACACACACACACACACACACACACACACACAGAGAGAGAGAGAGAGACACACACATGTATACACCAACACACACGCGCAAACAGAAGTGCATCTTGTGTTCACGCGCCCCACCTTGATCTCGAGGGCCTTCTCCAGCTTCATGATGTCTTTGGACGCGCTGCTCAGCCGCGCCTCAAGCCCCTCAGCCTCCTCACGCTTCTGCACGTGCATTTGCATGGGTAGCAGGGGTGCATGCGCCAACTCCCGCGAGGCACATGTGTGGGTCAAGGCTGGTCAACGCCGTGGACCGGCCGCGCAGCAGCTGTTCAGTGCAGCAGCGGCAGCCTCTCACCCGACCGACCCCGCCAACGCTGCGCTGGTCGTCCCGCCACCTGTCCCGCAACCGCCGCAGCCTCGCTTGGTATGGGCGGCCCTCTCGCCGCCCTCGCAGCCACAGCCGACCCCCCGCCCTCATCCCCATGCACACCTTGCGCTCCGCCTGCAGCTCCGCCCGCAGCCGCCCCAGCTCCTCGTCCCGCGCCGCCACCTCAGCTCGCAGCGCCGCCGCCTCCGCGGCGCCGCGAGCCGCGGACTGCCTCTCCAGGTTCCACAGGGCCAGGAAGACGGCCCCCAGGGCAATGCCCACCACACCGCCTAGCTGAATGAAATCGGGGCCCTCTGAGACCTGAGCCAGGAGGGCGGGGCCCTCCGACGACGCCCGGGCCAAGAGGGTGGTGTGCCCCAGCGCCACTGCTGTCGCAGCGCTGGCTTCCGAGAGCGCCGCTGCACTGCATACGGGCCTGGGTAGTGTTGTGGTGTTGCATTGTCATGAGTGGCCAGCGTTCTTTCTTTTCCAATTCCTTCCAGCACAATGAATGCCATTGTGCTCACCTGCTCCGGACAAGCCAGGCGCTGCTGGTGCATCGCTGCGCAACAACAGGGCGCTCCGGCACGATGCGCTTGAGCCCCAGCTGCTTCAATTGCAACGCGTTCATAATGTTCCGTGCTATTCTCCCGCAAAGATGGGCCACGAATGTGCGTTCCTCAATTCAGAGATGAGAGATGGCCACAGTCCGACTGTCTCGATCACGAAACGACCGAACTTGAGTCTAACGCGTTGTATATCTTATCTTTCACGGAGTAGGGCCCTGGTGTGATCGGTACCAAGCCAGGACCCTGGGTCACTGGCAGACGTTCACCCACTAGCTGCCCCTGCTGTACCCACGCCCCAAGCGCGCACGCCCGATGCACCCTGTCCGCAGGCTTTCAAGTGCACAGATGTGGAGTTATGCAAGATATGCGAGTCCAGGGGCTGGCTGGTGAGGTGGCAGAACGTATCAAGGGTGGGAAGTCTGGTGCTGTCTGGTACCGCTTTTTAGCGACTCCTCTGAAGTGCCCATGCATGCTTGCGACGCGCACAAAAAGCATATTTCTATGCTACATGCTATGCTATGCATTACATGCGATCGAAAAATCAACACAACATCGACAGGACGGCGCGGCGGCTGTTGTGTGCTGGCTGGTGGGGGACCTGTGTGTCGTGGCCAACGCAGGGGACGCCAAGGCCGTACTCGCGAGGCAGCCAGACAAGGCAAGGAACACTGCCGCGTCGACTGCAAAAAGGACCCCCTTGTCTGAATTTGTGTTGGTTTGCGGCGCAATAAGTTACTGCACTCGCAGCCACTTGCAAGGGCCAAGCATGATGTTCGCTGCTGTCACCACCACCATCGCGCCGTTGATTGGTTTGGGGCCGTTGCAGCTGGAACGCCGCCCCCGCTCCCCCAACTGATTGTACTTTCTTGTTTTGAGGTCGATCGCAAACGCTACATGCACGCGGTGCAGGCGGGAGGGCCCGGCCTGAAGGCCCTGACGCTAACCAAGGAGCACCTGGCCATCCACGCGGCAGAGCGGCAGCGCATCTCGGCGGCGGGCGGCTTTGTATCCAAGGACGGGCGCCTCAACGGGCGCATCCAGGTTGGGCGTTGTAAGAGGCTCGGGCTCTTTGTGTCAGTTTGCTGCCATGGGACCAGGAGAGGGCGTGCGCGCACAGGAGCAGTTGATGTAGGAGGCGCGAGAGCCACGCACTGCACGCCAGTCATACCTGCTCGCCCCATGCCAACACCAGTTTCTTTAGCAAACAGCTGTGCGCTGCTTTGACGTCGTCACCTCAGGTGTCCCGTTCTTTTGGTGATGCCCAGTTCAAGCGCAGCGGCGCCACGGCAGCCCCAGACATGCAGGTGTGCCGGGGCCCGTTGCAGACCGCCGCTGGCAGGGAACTGCCCTGATTGTCACCAAGGTGACGCGGCTCATGCTCAGCAGATGCTAGTCTTGGCCAGACAAATTGGCTGTTACGTGCTTGATAGCTCCCAGCTTGGCATGCACGCAGGTCTTCACACTGACGCAACGCGACCGCTTCATGCTGCTTGCATGCGACGGCTTCTGGGGGGTGAGGCGGGGGGCAGCAGCCGCGTTGTGGGGGTTATGCGCTGAGTAGGGACGCGGTGTGGGGCGGACAGTCGCAATACACTGCTGCTGCACTGGATTGCAGAGTGTGGGCCGGGCTGCTGGGTGTGGCACTTGCACTTGTGGCTTGCCCTGCTCTTCCAATGCAGTAGCAATCCAGACAGGAAATCACCCCAGCATGCAAACAAGCGGCATATATAGAGCACGGTGCTCTCTGCCGCCCTGACTCCTCAAAAGTGTGGCGTTGCACATCATGCACCAGGTTTTTGACGCCCAGGGGGCTGTCGCTATGGTGCAGCAGCTGCTCTCAGAGGGGCGCGACCCCAAGGCCATCACCAACCGCCTCATCAACGCGGCCGTTCGCGGTGAGGCGTGCCATTGGCAGGCAGGGGCACTTGCAGGACGATTAGATGGGTGCGGGTGTGAGGTGACCGTTGGGTGCACCCCGGTTGAGTGCAATTGCAACTACGCCTCTGATGCGAGCCAATCAACATGTGAACATGAGCTTGTGGACACCACAGTGGTTTACCATGATGCAAGTGCACCTGCACTCTCATTCTGCTGCATTGGCTCGCCTCGCAGAGCGGCGCTGCAAGGACAACTGCACCATCATGCTGCTCGTGTTTGGCAGCAGCAGTGAGGGCGGCGCAGCAGCACAGCAGCTAGCGCCGGTCGCAGAGACATCGGCGGCAGCAGACGGGCAGATGCCAGCAGCGGCAGTAACCTGATGCGTTGGTATGACACCGGACAGTCATGTAAGCTTCCAGGCACGCACTTCGTGCGAGTCGGAACAGTCTACTCGCTTTCCAGCAGTCCCTGAGTGCGCCTGTCGCTGCTGAAGGACGCGGAGTACAAGTGACACTCAAATATCATATACGGCACTACCACCCCCGATTCGGCGTCCTTAAATTGTGTGTCGAGGCAGCCTAACACTGAGCTCGGCATCATGCAGTCGTTTTCGTGTTCGAGAGCGGGATCAAGTACAATCTGTTCTGTATTTTAATCTAACATAGCCCAATACTCGGCTGCTTCGCAGCGTAGCTTTTCCCACTTGTGCGACGCCAACCAGCTCAGCACAACCAGCCAGTTTCTCAAAACACACAGCCGATGCCCCAACACCACATTAACGTGGACGGCGGCTGGCCGGCCATGCCGCCGCGCCATTTCCCACGCTTTGCCGCGTCGCCGCGCGCTGGCGGCGGCTTCTTGGTGGACGCGCCGAGGCCCAGCCAAAGCTCGCGACAGCGGGCGCCGTCCCCGCAGCCACGCAGCTCGGGGCAGCCGCTTGCCAGCGAGCAGCCGGGTCCAGCCATGGGTCCAGAATCCCTGGCACGCGCAACGATGGAGGGCCTGGCGGAGGCGGCCATGGACTACCAGGGATATGAGGCTCGGCCTGGCGGACTGTACCAGCACCTGCGCGCGCAACCTGCAGCAGCGGCGAGCCCCGACGAGCACGGCAGGGCAGGCGGCAGCGCCGGGGCAGCAAGGCGGCAGACGCCGCTGAAACACGCGCCAGCAGCCTTGGCTGTTGGGCTGATGAGCAGCCAAACGCAGCTTGAGGACTGCAGGGCGGGGCACGCAATTGGGGTTGCGATGCCAACCACCTTTCGAGCCGCCAGAAGCATCAGACACGGCACGTGGCGCCATGACGGAACAGACTTTAGTAGCGGCGCTGCGATGCAGACGCTTGAGGCAGGCCATAACCATGGCAGCGAGCAGGGCTGGCGCAGCGGCGGCGGGAGCTGCAGGGCCATGAGTGCCCCTTGCTACAGGCCTGGCAGCCCGGCGCAGCAGCCAGCTGGACACCCATTGCGGCGGCCATCGAGCAGCCTGGGGCACGCTTCAGGTGGCAGTGGGAGCCGCGACCATCTCGGCAGCCCCTCAGAAGCAGAAGAAAATACAGCTGGCAGCGCCTGCACTGGCGCCGGCGCCGACGCCAGCAGCTTCATGGCAGTGCAGCTGGCGGAAAGGGCTGCTGTCGCAGGAGCCCGTCATGCAGCAGGGGCGCGTGCCGCTGCTGACCCGCGCAGCGGCTGGTTCTCAACAGAATCTGTTGAGCTGCTGCGCCTGAATCGCGACCGCGCCAGGGCGGCGGCGGCCGCTGCAGGCGGCGGCATCGTCTTCGTGCCTCGGCCCGGCGCCATGCACGACAAGCGCTCGGCGCGTGTGGCTGGCGGCAGGCCACAACCCGCAGGAAGCCGGGAAGATGGAGAGGCTTCAGCAAGCATCGTGGGGGATGCAAGGCACCGCTGGGGGGCACCGCAGTGGGAGGCACAGTCCTGGGCGGAGACACCAGTCCCGCCACCGCAGCAGCAGGGGCAGCAACAGTGGCAGCTGCACCTACAGCCACCTGCTGGGATTGGAGATGACTGCGACTGCGGGCCACCTGAATGCGGCAGCCCAGTTGACGGCGGCGGGCCAGGGCAGTGGGCTGCAGCGACAGCAGAGGGTGCAGCGTGGTTGATAGACACTGGCGCACTGTCCGTGGGCTCCGAAACCCACACAGCCGTCCTGACCGCTGCCGCCAGCGCCCAGGCCGCGGCGGCACCCGCCGCCCACCCGCGCCGCTGGTGGGAGGCACGCCCCGCGCTCGCGCGCCACGTCGCCCGCCTGCTCTGCAGCGAGCGGGGAGGGGCGCTCGCCACGGCGGCAGCGGGGGGCGCTGGGTCGCAGAGCCTGGACGTCCTGGGGGGCACCCTGCGCGCAGCAACGGGCGCAGCCTGGGACGCCGGCACCTGCAGCCTGCCTGAGGCTGCTGGCCTGCAGGCCTCGCTGGTCAGCAACCAAGAGGAGGAGTGCGAGGCGGCGGAAGCTTGTGCAGCGTCAGTGGCGACAGCCGCTGGTCTAGCGCAGTTGCTGCATGTTGAGCTGGCAGACCTTGAAGCGGCCGCCAGGGGACAGCGGCGCCGGACAACCCAGCCGGAGGGGGCCCCGCGGCAGCAGCAGCGACAGCAGCAGCAGCAGGCGGCGGCGCGAGCAGCAGGCGAGATTGATGGCCACTATGCCGGGCCTGTGGTGATGCGGCGGCAGTACATGCTGCCGGGAGAGCTTGTGCACTGCGCATGGGTGGGGGAGCTGGCCGCGCGGCCGCTCGCGGCGCGGCAGCAGCAGGTCGAGGCGGAAGCGGCGTCATTGTCGCTGGCTGCAGGATGACATGTCACGCCCTGTCACAAGGCGGGTGGTGCAGGAGGGTGGGGCGCTCGACGCAACGGCAGGGAGCATGCTGGTTCAGATTGGAACCCAGTGCTATGAAACCTATGACCTGCATCAACAAGTGAGGGACGCAGAGAATTGTGTTGGGGCCATCCTCCACACCAAAAAGTTATGACAAACTTTGACTAGGCAAGGCTTGGTTCTGGCTTTGCGGCAAAATTTTGCCTTGGATCAAATAACAGATCTTTTGAGAGGAAGATGTATGGTCCCATAGGCAAAGCAGTACGCTTGAACTTGTCCACTGCTGAGGTGTCTCACCGTGAGGTGGTGAGTCACCACCTCTCGCCCTCTGTACCCATACTGCATGCAGCCGCAACCCATGGCGCAGTTTACGGCCCTTGTCTGTTGCGAATCCAAGTGAGGCATTCCCGTGCTTGCTCAAGCAGCATCCCTACCGGTAGATGGCGTTGGCTGGTTACAATAGCAGGGTTTTGAGTGCATGCTGCCTTGCTTATCCGGCTCGCTCAGGGATGCACGGCAGCAATGCCACAACCTCGGCTCACTTGTCCTGGCGCCAGCCACAAGTCTTAAATTTCGGAAAGGAAGAGAGTCGCTTTGGCACTCAAACCAGAAACTGGCACTCACATAAATCGCTGCAATCCACCACAAAGCGCCCCAAACCAACAAAGCAGCTGGCACGATGGCGCTTTGCAGTGGGCTTTTTTGGCATGCTCGGCAGAACCGACTGCCGACCAGTTGCCAAAGCGCGCCAGCGAGGATTGCAGGGGCCGGAAGGGCGAGGGACAGTGGGTGCTGTGCCAGAGCAAAGAGCCCGCACGCATGCCCGTGTCGCAGGCATGTGCATGCATGTTTCTTCTTCTGGGCTAGCGCTGCTGCAAGGCCCAACCATCGCACGGGGCCGGGGGCGGCGGGATGCGCAAACGTGCTGAACGCCCGCGGTGCAAACACATGAGTCAGGAGTCTTCGGCCGCACGGCTAGGTAAAAGGTCTCAAACGCTGTCAATAATAGAGGGCGGGCGGGCGGGGCGAAGACAGGCCGTGCTGGTGAACAGGGCAGCATGTTGGGGCGACTGGGGGCTCACAAATGCGTCAGCCGCAGCCGTTTCTGCTTCGAGCCCACGCTGCCCGCAGGAACCCAGCAATGCCAGAAACCAATCATAATCTCAATGTGCTCTGTTGACGAAACGACGACGGCACAAACTCAGCCGGCGGCCTGCCCCAGAAGGGACGAGCAAGGGTCATGGCACCCGCCCTTCACTCCCGGCCGCCTGCGCCTGCGTGCAATTGTGCCCTGCAGCCCCGATTCCAAGACCAAAACGGTTCGCGCTTGTACGCAGCGCGACCTGCTGCGCTCATTTTTGTTGCCCCGTAGCCACGCCCCACCTGGACGCCCACAACTCACTCATCCGGGCGCCGCGCTGGCGGGGCCCAGTTTTATCAGCCGCAACCCGCCGGCAGCGGCCCCGGCCAGATTGGACGCCGCTGCAGCCGGCCCGAGGCAGGCTGGCCGGCGCGCGCCCGCCGTGGCGAGGGCTCACACCACCTTCCTGACTTGGGGGCTGAGGGTGCCGAACAGGATGTCGTATAGGGTGGAGCTGATGCCGTAACCGACCTGGGCAGCAGGCGATGCGAGGGGGGGACAGGGGCGTTGGATGGTGGCGTCCGATGCACGCAATCGTGTACACCACCGCAGGGCAGCAAACAGAGGCGTGCTTCAATCAGCCAGATGCAGCTGATGAAGCCGTGCAGGCGGGGAGCGGGGGGCGTTGACGTGCGTGACGGCCCATGTGATGGACGGTTGATGACTCACCTTGTCGTTGACGTAATGGTGGTCCATGTGGCTGGTGCGCAGGATCTGGGTGACCAGGTGGGTGAGGGGGAGTGACCCGGGTCAAAACGGTGGCAGTCAGCTTGATGTCAATCCTCCTTCAAACGTGGCACGAGCAACGCGACTGCGAACCACACCGCGACCGGTCAGAACGCGCCTGCAACCCCGGCGTGTCCCGAGTTACAGCGGTGTCTTCCGCAAACCGAAGATGGGGCCGGGAGATAGGTGAGCGCGGGGGCCCTCCTTTGCCTCGAGCAGTTGGCCCCCCCAGCACCAGCAAGGGGGCGGGGGCGATCAGTGTGGTGGGCCCACCTGGGTGACAAAGGGGTCCCACGCGTTGGAGTGCAGCGCCCAGTGGGTGGTGTCATACACAACGTAGCCCAGGATGCCCCCGCCCAGCAGAGCCGACGCGTAGCCCTGCGGGGGAGGCCGGGATGGTGTTGCCATGTACATGTGTCACGGGTAGGCTAAGAGCGGAATCACGGCGCTTGGCTGCAGCAAGTCCTCGCGGGCGAGGAGGGGTGCACGAGGCAGGCGTGCGCGTGGGGTTGAATGCCACAGGGCACGTCGGGCGTGCTGCCGGCGCGCGTCGCACACACGTACGTCACTGGAACGACGACACCAGAGGCCCCTGCTCGCAGCACAACCCACTGCAGCAGCTGCTCGTGCACACGCCCCTTCCCCACGCGCACCCAGGGGACGATGGCGCAGAGGAGGTTGTAGAAGAGCGCCATCACCAGGCCCGCGGGGACGGGGGGGAACACCAGGCGGTCAAAGTCCATCGGGTACTTGTGGTGGTGCCTGGCAGAGCGCGGGGCGGCGGGACGGCGGGGCGCTCAGGAATCGCTCAGGCTTGGTGCGACTGACAAAACTATAATGTCATGGTTGGAAAGAAAGGGAGTGCCTGCCAGGCCGTCAAGGGCCGGTGACATGCAAAGAGTGACGGGGTTGCAGCAACTGGGGTGGGCAGGTGAGCACTCAGGCTGCGTCATAATTCAGATGCTGCTGCTGGGTGGAGCAGCGGCCCAGTATGCGGGTTGCAGGCCTGATGGCGTTGCTTGCTGCCCCACGGCTCATCCTGACCGCCGCCCAGCAACACAGGAGGGGGTTCGGGCCTCACCCGTGCAGCATGAAGTGCCACTTGATGCCCTCAGGGGTGGTGGGCTTCAGGTGGAACAGCCACCTGGCGGTTTCGGGTCAGTAGGGGAGGGCCGGCGGACGTCAGGCGATCGCCTTGAGAGAAGGGTGGTAGACTGGCCAGCAGGACAAGGGGATGCGACCAGCCTCAAGCTGCAGCGACCGGCCAGCTTTGATGATTTATGAAGGGGACGACTGCATGGTCTTTTTACGTCCCTTTCACACATCAGTGACACAACACACTCTTTGTCAAGCAACAGCACGCATCAGTGACCCCAGCCTGTTGAAATTCCCACCAGCTGGGCCTTCCAAGCCGCAAGCATCCGCACACCACATCACGAGCGAACCCCTTGTCAGGCCCTTCCAAGCCAAAACCCTGCCAGGCCCTTTCAACGGATGACGCTCCGCCACGGCCACCAACCGCGCTACTTACAGGCCACAGTGTTGCGAGCCGCCCCAGCCACACACACCTGTGGATGGAGTACTCAATCAGCTGCCACACCAGGACGCCGATGGCCACCAGCGCGGGCAGGTGCACCAAGGGGACGCCGCCCCGCGCCCAGCCGCGCCACAGCAGCGCGGCCGCAATCGGCACCCACAGCAAGGGGACCACATACCTTTGGGGAGCGGCAGGATTTGAAAGGGGGGATGTGGGTAAACGGGATGTATTGCAGCAGGTGGGATTTGGCAGTGACGAATCCTCATGGGCCAGGCCAGATTGGTGAACAGATGCGGCGTGAGCCGTGGCAGGACCGCCTCACCCAAAGCGCCGATGATGGCGCCTCTATCGCTCCGCCCCTGTCCCCTGCCGCCCCTCCCTCTGCCGCCCCTCCTGCTCTCCCCACGACCCGGCCAGCAGGCTGGTGCCACATCTCCCCGCTCGTCGCCAGCCGGCCCCAGCCTGTCCCTCCCGCGGCCCACCACTGAGTGCAGGTCATGCGCTCGACGAACGCGTTGTCAAACATGACGGGGTGGCCCGTGCTGGGGGCGTCCACCCAGGCCAGGTAGGTGTCTGGGTCCAGGTGGACGACCTGGGCGCGGGTGTCGTGAGTGCATATGTGCAGCGTGAGTGCGTATGTGCAGCGTGTGTGTGTGTGTGTGTGTGTGTGTGTGTGTGTGTGTGTGTGTGCGCGCCCGCGCGCCCGCGCACGTGTCTCTGTGAGAGCGCAAGTCTGTGTTTGTGTGTGTTGCCGTTGCGTGTGTGGGGGGGTGGATGTATGATTTGGGTAAGTGTCGCCCACAGCGCAAACAAGCGGCAGCCAAGTGCTGTGAGTGCGCTCCAACGGGACGAACGCTTGTGCCGCATGACCTCATCCTGCGCCCCGACCAGCCATGAACCCAGCGCGACCCCTTACTCCACCTGCACAGGCGTGCACACATGCCAGCGCACACACGCATGTATTTGCCCGCACACAAGCTAACATGCCCATACACCAGCTCACCTGTGGCAGCAGAGGCTTGCCTTCATCCACGAGATCGGCATCGGGCAGCGCCATGCCGCCCGCCGCGGCTGCATCCTCGCTGCCCTCCAGCACGCCCACGCAGTAGCGCTCGAGCAGCGCGCGCGCGCCGCGCGAGTGGAGGTGCGCGACGGTGCACTGCCCCTTGAAGGCAGCGCTGATGTCCTGGCCCTTGTATGACTCAAGGACCTGCATGTGTGCGTGTGCGTGTGTGTGCGTGTGTGTGTGTGTACACATGTGTGTATGAGAGAGAACAAGAGAGAGAGACAGAGAGCGCGACAGAGAGTGAGAGGAGGGGGATGCGTGTGTGTGCACACGCCTTTGCACAATCACGTCTGCACAACCACCACGCACACTGCATGCGTTTCCAGAAAAGCCTTCATTCAACCGATGTGCGCGCGTGCAGCCGAACGCCTGCATCCAGGTGCCACACTGCACCCTCTGTGGGCCTGCCGCCCCTGCTTG